ATTCTCTTCTGAAATGGTGAGATGTGAGCATTAATTCCTGGAAATATTTTCTACAACCTCACTTTATACTGAACTGTAGCTAGCCCTGAAAAGGATTAGAAATAGCTAGACGAGTATGAATTTAAAAGCACTGAATTATGAAAACTTTAAGCAGTACTGACTTTGTTCTCACTTGTGCAAGTCCATTCCTGATGATGATGACTGTCAAGAACCTTACAACAAAAGCAGAACTCATCTCTAGAATCTGTCCTGTCTCCTGCTGAAATCAGACTTATGAAGGAAAGTAAAAGTGTTGTGTATATACATGGAGGTACCATTTTGGAAAAATGCAGTTGGTAGTAGCTGATTTTTTTTTTCTTTTGCACATATCTCATATTATTTTTGCATACCTCTCAAGCAATATTGGCCTATACAGAAAAAGGCTACGGGATTGTTTTCCCTGCCAGTATGAGATATAAATGCTGATTACAGATAGAACAGTGCTGTAGAGATGTAAGAACAACAACAACAACAAAAACCCAAACAAAATGGAAATATGAAAAGAGTCATGACTACTGTCTTACTCAGAATCTCTGTCTGAAGCATAATATAATCATAGGCAGTGTGTAGTAACTGTAATTTACACTGAAGCCAGAAGGTTACATAGAGTTGAGACCTTGCCAAATTAAAGTCCCTTTGATACATATGGTATGGAAGGAATGACATTACTGCAGCGGTGCAAAATGTATATATGTAAAGCAACAGTCATACTACTAAAATAACTACGAAAAGCCAGGGAAAAAAAAAAAATCTGGTTTAAATAAAGGAAAGGAACATTTCGAACCAAATTTTCAGAGCTCCAGATAGAGTGAAAATATGTGGGCTGAAACTGTCGGTGGATGGTAGCAAGTTCATTAGGACTGCAACCGCAGGCATGTGCTCAGCACAGTTCTAGAAAATGGTGGCAGCGGTACCAAAAGGACATATTTTAAAGGTGAGTCCATGTCTGAGTTAGCTCAAAGAAAATGTTGTCTTCCATGCTTTCCTCTCAGGCAAGTTTATAGCGTGGAAAACAGCATACCGCTGGAATATAGTGGATGGTGTTTGTCAAGATTTTGAATGGCGCGCAGCAGGGAGGGAGCTGGAAGTCACGGAGATTTGAAAGACCCAGTTTCTGGCTCTCTCTGAGTAAATAATTGGGTGAGAGCAAGGACAGCCGTTGCCCCATGCCAAGGCAAGATCATGCTAACTGCCAGCACCTCCTGATTCCTGTGGACTTTCTGTGAGCAGATTCAACCTGTAATTTGGAAAAGGAAAATACAGTCTGGCACCCATTTTTGAAGGGTTGCCAGTCTCACACCTATCCTATAGCATGCCAGAATGGGAAAGGTAAGTATCTTACAGTATCCGCAGTATCAGTATTCACAGCAGCAGACACTGGAATTTCGTCTTTTCAATGCAGAAAAAAATTCCAAAGAATGTAATTATTTATTTTCCAGCTTTATAATTGTAATGATGATCTTTGGATTGGGAACTTTCAGCATTTAATGACTGTCTGGCACTTTCTTTGGCCCTTCCTTTCTCCAGCCAGCCAGTAACAGCAAGGAAAGCACCTCCTCCAGTGATCACTTGCTTAAACATTACTTTGTCATGCTACAGAATATACCAGCTACCTCTGGGAAATAAATGTCTCTTGTGTGAAGAGAGCCATAAAGTGTTTTTGAGGTTTCATTTCTTTGAAAGAATATTCTGTTAGGACATGCGAGTTTAATGCAAAAGAAGATTGAGTAGCATCCTTAGCCTCAAGAAAGGTTAGACCACTCTCAGGAATTGGGACTAAATAGCCTTGCAGTGCTTCTTCTCTTCTGGGGATGGTTTAAGGACATAGATTTCAAAAGATTAAATCTTAAGAATTTATCTATGTAATCTTGGTACTTTCCTCTTGGTATTGGAGCACTTTGGACATTATATCCAGACAGAAGCATTATCCTTGTCTGTCTTCTAGGACTGTATAACAACTGGACCTTATTTGTTCCATTTGAATTTTGTGTAGTCATTATGATGCTGAAAGAAGAATGTTGTCTTGAGAGTTAAACATTATTGAAAAAGCTAAAGAGGGATCAACCTTTGGGAATGTCTGCCTTGCTCAGCCTACCAGAAGAGTCTTCTCTTCCAGCCACCCTCTCCCCTTCAAAATACCAAGATGTTGTATACGGCTTTGTTCATAGGGAGATTTGTTTATTTACACGTGGAAATTACTTCATCTTGCACTTTATTATGAGAGAAGATTAGATACTGTGGAAGAGATCAATTTGAGGTATTTTCTGACCACCTGCTAGAGCATATTCTTGATCAAAATTTAACCAGATTATGAGTGGATTGAAACATACATGCATAAGCTTTTGAATAGTCTTCAGTTCTTGACTGTTGTTAAGAGTCTTTAAGTTTATGACTTCAAATGCTATTGTTAAAATGCAGTAGATTATCTAAATAATCGTGAATACATCTCTCAGGGTACATTTGAACTTTAAAGCAATTATTTAAGAAACATATTGCTTGGAAAAGAAATTCAGAAGAAAACAATAAAATTTTCTAAACCATATATCTAAATAGGGATTCTTATAGCAGTCCAACATATAATTATTACTGAGTAGTCAGGTAGTAGTGAAGCCCCTTCACCTGGATGGTAAAAGAAGATTGGAATTTCTTCACCAGTGCATTTAAAGTCAATATGGCGTCCCTTGAGGTTTTGGTATAAAGGGTGGAAGTAATGTGACTGATGAGCCTAATTTTAATGTTTTGCTGTGGAAGAGATTTAGCACCTGCATGACTATTATTGGTACCATTAGCTTTTCATATTGTATTTTTATGTGAAAACACATCAAAACAGCAGGCATCAGCTTTTTTTTAAATGCTCTTTTTTTACTTTTCAAGAAAAACAGCAGCAGAAAAATATAGGTTGTGTTCCAGGAAACAGCCGCTCGCAAGTCCCAGAAGGGCTGGGGATGTGCTTTGTGGTTTTCCTGACTCTTGGAGTGACACTTTTACTTTTTAAAGCCGAGGCTTCATTTGTATTTTGAAAATATGACAATCTCCTTCTCAGCAGGGTTGCATTGTTTCTAAAAGGCTGAAATTGCTACAGGATTTAAATCTGGTGAGGATCCGGTTATTCCCTTAACAATGCATTTTAGAACACCCACCCATAAAATAGCTTGACATCTGTAAACTTGAGGCCACATTCTCCAGCTAGATAGCACTCAAGCAACTGGCTGGAAATGGGGAAGGCGTGAAGGAGAAAGGAGTGCCGCTGTTGTGTATTCTGTGCTTAAACCGATCTCTTCCTCTGCTTCACAGCTAACTGATGCAGATTATTTATAGATTTCAGAGCCAAAAATTAACACAGTTCCTTGCAGGCAGAAGAGAAATGTATGGGATCATTATTAATTCTCTAGCATTATAGTGCCTTCTGGCTCAATGTGCGTGCTGGGGACCAAGTGTAAACACACATTTATCATCGTGACCCTTAATCTGTTCCCAAAAATGTCCTTCAGTGGGGAACTGTAAAACAGCTTTTCTAAAGGATTTGAGACCTTTTTCTTTGCCACTGACAAAGATCTTTACAGACTTTGCTGTAATAGAACCTTCAAATGTAAAATGTTGTGAATGCTAGTTTAGAATGTTCCATTTTGTGAAAAAGAAAACAAAAAAGCACGCTGGGATGCTAGCTGTCTTTACACAAATGCCTTTTGTTTTCTTTCATTGGGGCAAATTACCCAGGCTGATGAGAAATTTCCTTCTTCAAGGTCTACCCTAATTTCTGCACCCTTAGCTTCTCTTAGTTCCTCCTATTGTTTCTAGTTTCTCCATTGTTGTTTTCCTTTCCCTTGACAGCAGTCTTAGGTGGTGCTAATAGATTTCAGCAGCAGAGGAAATACAGTACCAATAAGATTCGGGTACCGAATCCCTCACTGGCCACTGAGCTTAGTGGGATAAAATTGTCCTTCATGTAATTTTAACAGTGTCCATGGAGTAATTCTAGCCATTGGCCTGTTCTGTCTCTCTCTGCAGCTCCTTCTACCTCCATCATAACATGAGGTGGAGGAGATAGGATCCCTACAGCAGCTGCTATTGTTTGATCAGCAGCACAATCTTTGTTGGAATTTCATTTCCCTTGCAGCCTCGCTTCTAGAATTCATTTGTCATCCATACTTTGTAGCACTTATATTTGCCTGTAATTACATACCAGTCTGGCAATACTTTATTGTTAACATAAAGCACTGGTGTTTAAATCCCCAATCTTATGCTGAAGTATTTGCAAAACTCTGTAATTGCTAAAATAATAAAGCTGCCATTATTGTATGGGAAGTTTACAGCCTGTTACTGAAATACTTGTATCAGCTTAACTATACCTGTATGCATTCCTCATGTTCTCATGGCTTAAGAGACAGACTTCCCAGTTTCTGTTGCTTTCACAGAATGGCTGAGGTGCGAAGAGACCTTGTGGATCCCTTTGAGCTCAGGATGTTCTATTATTCTGTGACTATAACTTCTGGTAGCCCAGGGCTGCGCTCATACGTGTTATCTCAGAGCATGCAGGGGACTCCACAATCTCTGGATGAGCAGTTCCAGGGTTCAGTCAAAACTTCACTTTTTTCTGGGTTATGGTCTGCTCTCATGTAGCATTTGTAAGAAGTCTATAGAAGATAGCTAGGAAAAACAAGTTCAGTTTGGTTAAACTCGGTGTAATGGTAGAGATATCACTCCAAACGTTTATGGACCTGCAAACCAGAAAAGATAAAGTATTTTGGTTTCATTTTGTGTTGGCTTTCTGCAGGCAGAAAAACAGCAATGCCCCTTTCTTGTTGTTCGTTACTTACTGTGCTGTTGTTTAGCCTTTACACAATCCCCCGCTATGTCAGTTTGCTCCCAAACTAGCTGGGCAAAGCAGACCTCAGCACTGGACACCAGGGTTAGAGTAACTGGTGCAGGTGCATTATAATTATTTTTTTTTTTCCATACAGAAAGCTCAAAAAATCCACACCGAGTATAAACATGTCTCCAGCAGCTTGGGAACTTGTGCTGTAATGAATGGCACGGTCTCTCAGCTTTGTTTTCATACACATGCATAGAACATCTTCACGTGGGGGATGGCAAGGAGACTCTGAGTTCTTCCAACAGCAGCCACTGGACGTTACCATGGGTGCCCCATCGGTGGCTCAGCACCCCACAGAGCAGTAGCATCACACTCTCAAGACCTACACACAACAACGCACGTTCGGACTGCGCTGGTACTTAGCCAATAGGTGCCGTTCTGCGGTGCCGCCTGCCTGCGACCCGCCTGCGACCCACCTGCTCTCCTCTCCCCAACTCCTCAAAGTATTGCCCCGGCCTACGTGCGTGCTCCGCGTACCCCCACAGAGCAGGAACAGCCCCGCTTCGGCACGGGCCCTGCACCGCAAAGAGTTCGGTGCATCGAATCCAGAGAGGCAGCGCCTCCCCGCCCGGCGCGGCCCCGAACCCGAGGCGGCAGGGCCGCACCCGTTGTGCCCTCGGTGACAGCGCGGCCCCCTCCCGCCCACCCCTCAGCCCGGCTCGCGTCGCTCCGCGTTGGATTGCTCGCGTCTGCCCGGCGCTGGGGCTGCCCGGCTGGCGGCGCGGCCAGGCGAGCTCAGCCGAGCGCAGAGGCGGATTTTGAGGAACAATAACAGAGCGGGGAGTGCGGGACCGGCGCGGCCGCCCCGCCCGCCGCCGCACCATGTACGCCTTTGTGCGGTTCCTGGAGGACAACGTCTGCTACGCGCTGCCCGTCTCCTGCGTGCAGGACTTCAGCCCCACGTCCCAGCTCGACTTCGACAACCAGAAGGTCTACACGGTGTACCGCAACCCCGAAGAGGCGGCGGAGGAGGACGACGAGAGCACCGGCGAGTGGGGGGAGCGCCTGCTGCTCCACAAGGCCCAGATCCTGGCGCTGGCAGGTGGGCGCGGGCAGGGCCGGCTGAGGGAGGGGGCGGGCGGCGGACGGAGCCCTGGGGAGGGGGGGGGCGAGGGAAGACGGGGGGGGGATTCGCAAGCGACCCTCAGGGCTGGGCCGGGGGGACCGCAGGGTGGGGAGCAGGGCCGGGTTGGGAGAACCCCCCTTCCCCAAGGAAAAAAAAAAAAAAAAAAAAAAAAAAGGAAGGTTTCCCTGCCTAGCGTATTTATAGTGCATGGAGTCATTTCTGTACCTTCGCAGCTCGTGTTGCCACATTGGAGCTGTGTTGCTGGTTTCTGTCTGCTCTGTTAGTTTAAGCGACTTCTCAAATTGGGAGGCAGCAGCGGGGGAAGCAGAGCTTTGTGTGGGGCTTGGTGGTGCTCAGTGTGGTTGCTCCACGTTTCTCGTACACACGGCTCCCTGCCTACAAGCGCTGCTTCAACTGCACATTTAAAACGCAATCCCGTACTTTGGCCATTTAAACCCTGGTGCTGCTGTGTGGTCCCCAAGTCGTGTCCTGTTGGCAGCACGAAGACTTTCTGTAGTTTCTTTGCAACCGCAAAAAGCTCTGTCCTCCTCACAGCTGGCATGGGAAGAAAGTTTGAGGGTGTTTGAAGCGAGCTGCTGGCTGGTGTGGAGGTGTCCCATAGGATGGGACAAGCTGAGTGTCACTGTGTGGCCCACAGGATGCAGGGTTCCGATCCTGAGCTCCACATTTGGGGAGAAATACGGCCCGTGGCCATTTCCCCAAATATGGCCTGTGCTGCCGAATCTGCTCTCCTGCACTGCAAAGGCCCGGAACAGAGCAGCTCGGTGCTGCAGGCATGTAAAACTAGTGTTTTCCTAATTTTTATTTTATTTTTGGAAACAACAATTTTGGAAACAACAAAGTAGGTCAGCTGGTGATCCATCTAGTCCCTGAGTCAGAGAGTGGCTTGTACCAGTGGCCTGTGTACAGTAGTGGCCATAAGCAGATGCTTGGAACAAATAAGAAACAGGAGAGCTTGTACATCATTTCCCTGTAGAGTTTTTCTGATCTGTGAATATCTGCAGGAGTATCCCCAGAGTTCAGAAATAGCAGAGGCTGACAGAGGAGTGGATTCTTCTGCAAAGTTTTTGTCATCCTGTGCCAACATGCAGTGTTTTGTGTGACTTGTCTGTAGCACAGGAGAATTGATACATGAATTATTTGCATGTTGCCTGCTGTGTACATGGAAGACAGCAGTGTCACTGCTTGGGGTTTGCTTGGCCTCTTCTCAAAAGTTACCCACATGGAGTTTGCCTTTTTGTTTCTTCCTGGGGAAGTGCCCTTTCTCAAGCGTTTCAGAGTTCTCGGTCATGCTGTTTTGCTCATGTGGTGAGCCTGCAAGGTTGCCACTAAGTTTTCCAGCAGGAAGTGCTCTTACTTTAGTCAACTCACTCATCCCAGACAGAGTTTGTTCCTAAGAGAAGTCTACTAGAGAGTTTTCTTCATCTCTCTAGAACCAGAACAAGGCAGTATATATTGTTTCTCCAGAGGGCAAAACTTGTTATCTGTTTTAGAGATCTGCATTAATTACTCCTCAGAGATCTTAGTTTTTACAGGAACTTTTCCTACCAAGCCAGGAACACAAAGAAACAAAGCTATTTTTATCATGTGTGCTCCATCTCAATACATATGATGTGTATGTGTGAGTTACATGTTTCAACATTTTTCATATGAGTGTTTATTCTGGTTCTTCTTTCCTTCCTCTACCATATAAAAATTCCATAACTGAATTAAACATGCTGTAGCCAAAGGATTAGTTACTTTCAGAGTTTTCACTTTCTCACCAAGTTTTTAATGTTGATGTTTATTTTATAGTGGTTAAAACACTGGGGATAAAGGTTGATCTTAAATGAAGATACTTTTGTTTTCTAGTGACCAATTAAGTTTGTGTGGCAAACAGATTAAGACAACTTATAGCAAGCGTTATGAATCTGATGTTATGCAACCTGCTTTTGTAATGTAGAAGATGAGTTTAAAAGTCAGTAGTGTGTCACATACTTGCATGGAACTTTTAATCCTGAAGCATTACAATGTATGCTAGTAGTAAAGTAAATAAAATGGGTAAAATAGCTTTTATCTTTAAAATGTACAAACTGAGATGATTTGGAATTTCTGGAGGGGAGCCCATGTCTGCACAAATTAGTGCATCAGTGACTTTAAGGATTTACTGCTTTGTTTTGGGGATTCCCCATTAGGAACAGTTTTTAGGATCACTGTGGTAGTACACATTAAATTTAAACAAAAAAAAAGTGGGAGGAGGAATTTCCTTTTATTTTCAGTTAGTTTCAACATGCTCTGTTATTTTCTTGGTAGAGTTTCAACAGGTTGCACAGTGATGTTCCAAAGCTGTTGAAGTAAGCAAAATGATACCTGCTCATATATATTTTCATGATCTAACACTGTTGTTGCAGTGGGAGTTAGAGTACGAAAAAACCTCTTAGCTTTCCTCTCTAGCAACATTGAAAAGGAAGGAGTAGAGAAAGAATACTGATACAAGATCTAGTTGAAACAACTCTTCTACTGTCTTTAAAAAAAAAAAAAAAAAAATACACTTTTACCATCCTGACACTCTAGTTTACCTAGAGATAGATATATGTTCACACCCACAATACAAAATTTATTGGAGCATTTGTGTTGTAAATCATTTGTGAAACAATTGTCCTGATTTGAAGGACTCGTGGAGCATTTATTTGATCCCTGTGTTGAGGTTGGATATTTGGAAATCTGTACATCAGTGAGAAATGGATGCTGCGAGGCAGGGAGAGCTGAAAAGGGAAGAGTGTTGGGCATGCTCAGAACAGCACATAGTTGTGATAGACTTGATATGACGAGGGAATAAATACTGTCTTCTGACAACTTCAACAGCAGTACATAGTGGTATTAGAGCACAGGGATTGTTCTGAGCAGCAGTACATGTCTGTTGTTCCTCTGTGTGTGTGGTTGGGGAACCTTAAACTATTTCAAAAGTTAGTCAAAGACTAAGGCTGAAATAAAGCAGGTTAACCCCTGACTAGGGCAGTTGTAGACAGCTGAGCCATAGAAAGCATGTTAAAATGAGTGTTCTGTTCCATAACAAGATTAGCATTTGGTTAACAGGCAACTGATGTTACGTAGTAATAAAGGAATCACTTTATTTACCTCTTGAATGGAAAATACAGCTCAGTGGACTGAAGCTGTACTGTAAGGCAGTTTCTTGAGGTGGCATGTTAACTGCTCTTTCTCGCTGAGGATAAAATAAATTGACAGCTTTTCAGGAGGAGCTTGAGCCTTCCTTCTGATCATTCACACCCTTCATTTTTATTTCTTTCGTGTCCTTTCATCTAAACACAAAAGCTGTTTTTCTCGTCCCTCTTGTTGAAACAGGTGTGCCACTTGCAACTTTTTTTGCTCCTGTCCGATGTAATCATTGTCAGTTTTGTCCATAAGCATGTGTACACCTTACTGTGATCCTTATGTGACCCTGCTGGAGCCACTTCTAATGCTCATCACATTGCAAAGCAAGGTGGAACAAATCAATGTACAGGAACTTTTAAAAAGTTCACTACTGCAGGCTCCATCTGTTGACAAGTTAATAGTGACTGTCTTCTAATTGGAGGCATTCTTTCCTGACTGCAGTAAATAATTGCTCTCTCTAGCTACTGCCCTTAGCACTTCCCACCTGCACCATAACAGCAAACACGTCTCAATCAGATCCTGACTGCAGTTCCCTGCCTGCCACAGCAGGCACATTAATACCTGTGTGCATCCATATTCTTCCCTGTCCCTTCATAAAATGTGATGCTCCACTTTTTATTTAACTAGGTTAGGTGTGTTTTTTTATTTTTTATTTTTTTTCTTTTTAAAGTCTTTAAAAGTCTGAACAGCTCATGATGAGGTAATTTGCTGCGTTTCAGAAGGATGTGAAGTCTCCATTCCTGGAACAGTTTTCAAGTAAATGATTTTGTTGCTGAGTTTTGAATAAGTTTGAGGGTGGATTCATCCTAAGAAGTTGAAGCTCCCTGATTTGAACAATTAAAGGAGGAGAGACATTGTTGAGTGCTGGAGTAGGTGAAAATTTACAAGTTGGGATTTTAGGTTATACCAAGATTGTGCAGCATGTAGGTCAGCAGGTGATGATGGGTAAAATCATTCTGAATCCTTTCACTGTTCAGACAGCCTGGGGAGCTGGATTAGGTAGAGCAGAGTGTGGCAATGCCGTGGCCTGTGCCATGCTCAGACACAGTGTTGCCCCACGTAAGGTAGTGCCATGAGGGAGTTGTAGGAAGCCTTCCAGCAATTGCTTGTCACAGACTTTGGTCTGTTTTCCTGGGATAGCTCAGGAGGACCTGTGGGCTGCACTTTGTATGGCTGCCTTTGAGCAGCCAGCCCACTTTGTCCTACCTGAGCACTGGGGTTTGCCTTGGGGTGACCTGGTCACTGAGCAGAGCTGAGCCCAGCAGTGCTGAAGCAAGCTTGTTCAAAACATAGTCCATTTCCTGTTCATTTTTAACTATTTCAAGATGAAGGATGGATTTATTTTTCTTTTTCCCCTTTCCTCTATATTGTACTGTAGGAGTGTGTCTGAGATTTAAAGAGCTTGTACAAGGGTGCCATTTTTCTTTATTGTATCTGTTTGTTCAGCTTTGAGGTAGGGCTCATCATTGCAAAGCTGAAGTGGCAGCATCAAAAAGGAATTTAGAACTTTTAAAACAATATCCAGTAACTGTTACGATAGTGGTGATGGGTACGTATCATCAGCAACAGTGCTAATGAAAAGGAATTTAAAAGCAATTTTACTGCAAGATTTTACCCTCTAGTTATCTCTTTCTATATATCTTAGTGTGGAAAGAAGTATCTTTTGGTCTCAGCTGACCTGCTTATTCCTCAGTCACTTCTGCTTTTTGCTTCAGAAGAGTCGGAAGTCATTTACTAGTTTGTTTTTATGACGCACGCCCTTACATGTCACCTAGAGCATTGTGATTTCTCTTGGTCTTAAT